TTCATGGGCAGGTTTATCGATAAGAAAATCGAATCTGTCATTGAATGATGATGACTCGGGATTGAATTGCCTGATCGCCCAGGCGCGGTAAAGTAACCCCAATCAGGGATAGCGGAGCATGTGACTGGGGCCAAAGACCAAGCAAAGGGCCAAAGGCATTGACAGGCATCAACTCCCCCGCCCTGAGGCCACAACGCTAGGCCGGGATGGGCATCGAGGGGAATCCCGAAATAGAAACAGTCAGCTCCTCCCAGTCTATCATCGGCCTTCTTTAAAGCGCCGCCGTTCTTCCAGCCACCTTCTCCTCTTTTCTCCTCCGTGGTGATGATGGCGCTCTGTTTTCTCCAAGGCTTCTGCCCACATGGATTGCAATTTCCGCCATTGAATGTGTATGCGCTACCTGCTATATAAATACAATACTTGTCAATTCATGCGCTCGACTGGGCTGGTCCCTAAGCTAAGCGCGCTCATTTCGATCTAATTATAGCCTACTGTCTATACACACTCGACTTCGAAATCTTTGCTTTTGTCTTTGCCCATACCTATGATACCCAGCTATTTATTCAGCACGCACCAATCATCCTTATCCTATTGCGCCATTGTTTACTTGAGGGAGTCTTAACTTGTCGGTTCACAATGGAAAGCTCGTTTCCAAATGTCATGAATCCATCGGAGAGGAGCGACTTAGGGGCGCCGCCGATGGTTGTCCAGCAGTATGCAAGGTATCCACCTACATTGGAACCTGGATTGCATAGCGCTTCCTCTCTAGGCAGTGCTCGCAGCAGGATGGCGGCCTCCAAATCTCCCCCACTTCATCGCAAAGCAACTCCGCGCAGTATACAATCCTCGCCGACAGTTCCGCGACCGGCCATTCCCCCATCAGCTGCTGCACGCTCGGGGCCATCGATGTCCCCTCCAGTGTACGATCCTCTCCGCCAAAGACAACCGCCTAGAGAGTCCCTAGACCAAGCAGAGTCGCGATCGCTGCCATCCCGTGACATTACAGATGAAACCATTGATGACGCTTACGTGATGTTCATTTTCTATTGTAATCCAAATGTGCCTCTGTCTGTAGACACTAGCGAGCTGCGGAAGACTTTCCGGTGTCCCCCACGGAGTGACGGCAAAAGCTTTAGTATCTTCACGCTTTGGGAACTTATTCGGAAATTAGACAGCAAAGAGTTAAAAACGTGGATATCTTTGGCGACTGAGCTTGGGGTGGAACCGCCTGATTTGGAGCAGGGGCAAAGCACGCAAAAGGTTCAGCAGTACGCTGTTCGCCTAAAGGTCGGTCGAATGTTTTATCTTGTTATGAGACCCTTACTGAAATATCATAGCGTTGGATGCGAGCGATGCATGTTGATGCTTTCTTTGAATACTGTCTCGGTCATCCTCACCCTTACTATACTCAGCTCCCCGCCAACAATGCAGTGGTCAGCGAGAGCCGCGACGGTGTGCCTTTAGAAGAGGACCTGGCGTTACGAGCCCTCGTCCCTCAATGGAAACCCAAACGAGGCAGAAAGCGAGCAGAAGAGAGGGAGAGTCTGAATGATAGATCATCCAAACGACCACAACTTGACACCTCTGTGGGCATCATACATACGAGTACATTCCCAGCCCACTCGGCGACTTTTCCTCAAAGTGCAATTCCATTCAGCGCCTTCCCTGAAGAGATCGAGCCAACCGATCCGTGGATAGCAGCCACATCCTCATTTGGAGCGAATGGGCCGTCAGGAAACCCGGTCACTCAACAAGGCCAGGATCTTCGGTGGAGATCCGTTGAACGAGAGGCTTCACCTTCTAGCTACCCGCACTCTGCAATTCTCCCCAGGGGCCATCATCCATCCGACGTATTTCTTCCTCCTACGGAGCCTCGGTCTGCAGTTACGCCCTCCTCCGAGAAGTCACGCCCTAAACGGCGTCATGGCCCAGCTGTCTCATCTGCCTGGCCGACCAACAATGGATCGTCTACTGGGAAAACTCGAGGACGGCCTCCCGGTCGCGGGACTACATCAGGTCCCTTTTCCTCTTTTCCAGTGAACCCTAGTCGCTCCGAGCCATCCCACTTACATAGCTCCAATGCAAGACCTCCTTCCATTGTTTTAGATCAGGATCCTTCCGGTCGCTATTCCAACGCTCAATACCAACAATCTCCTACACCCTTTCCTGGTGGTAACAGACCAAACAAACTTCAGTTGCAAGTCCCTCAGCACCCAGGCGCGCCAGTCCGTCTCGCGACACCGCCAACACTAATGGTGAACGGCGTCAACAATGCATCTTTTAAAATTGAGGGACACCAGCGTAACAGCGCTTCAGCTCCCCCGCACGACACTACCGGCGCAGCAACGAACGCTCCAACTGGTGCACATCGCAGTACCGACCCGAATGTGGACATTTCGTCCGATGAGCTTGTCCGTGTGCTCTCCAGTGACTTGCTGCGCGGAAAAGTAACTGGTCGCCCCACTCCTTTAAGTGTCGAAGAGGCCCGAACACTCTCTTTGTCTATGATCGCTAATTTGACTGCTTCATATTCTCAATTGCCTTTGGGGATGCCGGTTCTTTTGTCAGCTCTGCATCTCGGGCTAGGGCAGCATTTTGGCTACCCTGGGGTAGCAGAAAGTGCGATGGCAATAGATATTAAGGCGACGACTGTGTCTTCCGTCGATGCACCAGTGACATCTAACAATGAGGAACGCTCGTCAAATTTCACCTATACTGTCTCTCAGGAATATAAGCATGGACTTCGTTTCTCGACGAAGGTCACTTACGGTGATTTCAATACCAACAAGCTGGAAAATAACAAAGCCGGAAATGCGCCCGGAGTGCCAGAGGACCTGGACAACAGCGTCGCAGAAGTGAATAGCTCGACAGATGGCGAATTTGAAGTGGATGGCGCAGAGAATGCTGTCCCAGAGTTGACCTGGAAACAACGGTATATAAAGCTTCGCTCCCAGATGCAGAAAAAGGAGCGTGCCCTGTCCCAGTACAAGCGCAAGATTCTGGAGTCTGTGATGGCAGACATCTAAGTCATTGCTACGGTGGTAGGACTCAGTTCGCAGGAAGACTGACTACCGACTATGTTGTGTTATGGATGTTATCTTTCTTATTTGCTTGATGCCTAGCTTCGTTCTTTAACCGATGTGATCTAGACATGGTCTTCCATCTGTTTTCCTGGAAGCATTCTGTTCTGTGTTTGATTTAGGTTTCTTACAGATACCCCTTGAGCGACCTCGTTTGTGTCCGAATTAAAGCATGTTATAGAGCAATACTTAAGATAAGATTGAGAGCTCTTTGCACATACGTCCATGCGTGCTCCTTACGTGAAATGATTTTGGGCCTTTGTACTTCGTAGATTCTCAATAAAATAGGAGAACCCCTTCGTCATGCTAAAGCAAGTACCCAGTCTTCAAAACATTGAAAGCATATGAGCCCATCTCCAACTGCAGAGAAAAAGAAGAAAAGAAGAAAAGAAAAGAAAAGAAAAGAAACAGCCTAGCTAGAACACACCCAATCGCCAGGCCAACAAGACAGCCTCAATAGTCTTCCTTCACCTGAGAAGCTTTCAAACATCCGCATCACAATCCTCCTCCTCAGCCTATACCCGTCCCACCGTCAGTCAGCATTACAGAATTGATCAAATAAAGCATCATCACTAACCCCGAGCACAGCCTCGTCGATCTCAGTTTCCTCTCCAGAGGAATGCTCTTCAACCTTTTCCAAGTCAGTCCATAGCTTAACCAGGGTTTCCGCGAGGGCAACGGTAACCACCTTCATCTCTTTCCCCTTCTTAGCAGCTGCCTTCTTGGACGCTGCTGGTTTCGGCGCTGTCTTGCGCTTCGCAACCGATGACTTGGTAGTCTTTTTTGGGCTTGGGGTTGGGGTATCGGCTGAGGATCCACCAGGAGCGTTGCTGCGGCCTTTCGAGAGGCGCTCGTAGCGTTTCGCACTGGTTGATCATTTAGAAAGAAAAGCGAAGAAAAGGACGAGTGGAGGGACTTACGCCGCTCCTCTAGAGACAATGCTGCATTCTTTCGCAACTTCTCCGAAATCAACCTGTGAGTGAGGCAAAATTGCATTGCAATCAGTCCTGGATGCTCCAAGTAGAGGTTTGAACATTGGCTGTCAACACAGTATATGCGTGTGTGCTTTCTTACCTTGCCGCCGTTTGCGTGACGGACGCAGCTAAGGAGGAATTCAATCTGCTCCGAGTCGGTGATTGTAGGCATGTCGAGTGGACTTTTGACTGATGTGGCCTTTACAAAGAGGTAATCAGCTCAAAGGACTCTTAGAGAGTACGTAAGAGTAAGCTTGTAGGGGGAGGGTTGTTTGAGTAAATAGAAGGTGAATAGTGGAAGGGAAGAGGTTCGAAGGGGAATAGAGGAAGAAGTAACACTGAGGTTTCTTAGACGGATGACAGGTAGGTGCAATGACATACACGGTGCAGTGAATAAATACAGTCGAGCGGCGATGCGTTAGTTCATTTGTCGATTCTTCTTGTCTTGACTAAAGCGCATGAGATGAGCTCCACTTTCCAGACTCATCGTTGAGCTACAGAGAAGTTGGCTAGGAAGTAGTTCTTTGGATCTACTCACTCTAGATTCAGATCCTACTAAATGGCTTACGGGTGTTACTTTCACTACAATGTCAGTGGAAGTTAGCTCTCTTAGCTGAACTTCATATGGCTTGAGAATCAACAGGTGGCTCTCATTTTCAATATGTAACATCTTGTAAGCCCAAATCGCCTGTGCAGTATCCCCGGTATTAAACTGAGGGTGTAGATAAATTCCTGTACGAGTAAAACACAAAACGAAATCCCCCTCTACATGGCACCTTCAGTAGATCAAAATCACAGGGCCCTCTGGGGCATCTGAAGTCATTCAGCGTAGAAAAATAAATCAAGACCATGAGTGTCTACTAGGGAAGGTTAGCCGTGGGCACTGTAAGTCGGATGATATTAGACTCACGAAAGGACGAGTGCCTGGCAGATTCAGAACATCCATCTACGCTTTTTCGAAGCCCTCGATGTCCTCATACATCTCCATAGCATCATTGACCGCGTTAAGGAGATTAACGTCAATGCTTTCGTCCTTCACATTTTCAGTCTTGACCGTCGACTCTGAAGTTGCCTTTGAATGCTTGCCTCCCTTCGGGGCTCCAAGATCAGTAGCTGGGGTAGGAGTAGAAGTCACTTTGGCTCCCTTCCTGGCCCCTTTCTTAGGGGTGGCTTTGACCTTGGGAACTTCAGCGGCGATGATAGTTTCAGCCTCGGAATCGTCGGTGATGAAGGGGTCTTCGAATTCTCCGCACTTGGTGGCTTTTTTCTTTCTTCCGACGCCGGGGCCCTTGCGCTTGCCTTTCCCGGAGGGGGTAGTGGACACAGAAGCAGTCGAGGTGGCACTCGCATTTGATGGCTTAGTGGTAGCATCGAGATTGGGAAAGCCGTAGCGCTTGCGGAGGGCACGGAACCTGTTGGCGACAGATGAAGTGTTGGTATAGCCCATCGTGGCTCCAACGTTGGTCAAATTGACCTGAGCAGATATCAGCTATGCCAGTTCCAATGGCAGTACGGCGTGTACATGGGATATCTACTTACAGCCCTGCTTTCATCGATGTTTCGCAGGCACTCGATGAGGAATCGGCCATCTTGCTGGCTCAGAAATTCGCACTCCTCAGACGTAGAACTCTGGCCAGATGCCATGGTCTTAAATTGCTGGTCGTAGGGATTAGTTGAATTATAGGAAGCTTTAGTTAAAAGCAATAATGGAATGTAGAATGACCTGTGTTTTCATTGAACCATGAAAATGAGGTGAGAATAGCAGGTGAGTGTGAAGCTGAATGGGTGTGAACTGTAGATGAGAAACACACTGAAAGAGGTGAGAAGCTCAGTGGTATACTTTTGCACAGCAGTAATGCAGTGGCTGGGTGATAGTATTTCAGACTTCCTCCAGTTCTGTGGGCGTTGGTTTAGTGTTCTATGAGCGTGTCATTGGTTGGTGAATTGCGATGACAGTCGTCACAGTGATGGAGAATTATTGTTATAGAGACAAAGTGATATAACGAAATCACTTTCTATACACTAAAGCAAATACGCATAGAATTTAAGACTAAGTAGATTTCATTATCTACTCTGGCGCACCAGGCTTCATATCTCTTGTCAAAAAATCCTGTGGTGTCTCTTCTGGTAACAAGAGTCCAGGCCTACTCTAAAGGACACAGTAGCTATCTCCACCATAATGTTGTAACATCTAAAACAAGTGTGCATATTAGACAAATACACAAGGCCACTATAGACTTGTATACAAGTACACAAAAGGCCTCGTCAATTCTTAGGCTCTTCAGCAATCTTCAGTCCAGGCGCAAACAGGCCACAATATTCCACCTCGCTGCCGCTTAAATTCACCACCTCCACTTGTGGCTCTTCCACCTTGACAAAAACGTCGCTCAACCTATTCTCCTCGTCCGGCTCCAACTTTGTAGGAGGCCAGGAATAAGCTGGACTTGGTTGATGCTCGAATCCGATCGTAGGGCTCAAGAAGCTCGGTGTCACGCTGTACGTTGTCAATTCATTAGGAGACACTGTCATTTGGGAGTGAAGAGGGGTTATTGTCCGGGCAGGCGAGTCCGATATGATATGATATGTGGCCACGGGAATATCAGCCAAAGCAGGGAACCCTTGGGCATGTGGATCGGTCTTGATGTAAGAAGTTGGCTCGCTGGTAGACGCCTGAGGTTCTTGTTTGAGAACCGGTTTTACATCGGAAGAATTGGCTTCTTTCAGCAAGTCTGCCTTGCAAGAGCTTATTTTGGACCCCTTCGGGCCTTTTTTGTTACGCGCTCGTGGTGTTGATGTGATGCCTTCCATCTGCTGCCTGAAGCGAGAGTAACGCATTCTGGCTGCATGACCGTTGGAGATTTCGAGTTGACTTGCAACGAGGCCCCAGTCAATCTGCCCGGTTGATTAGCTGGTTGATATGTCCTAGCTCTGGAAGTCAACTTACTGATTTGAGATCAAGCTGTTTGATTATGGTATATAAGAACTTGACAGTCGGACCATCAGTTGGCATGGCTTTGCTACGTCGGACGGTGGACATGGCTGCAAATCCGAATAAGAGACGGCCGGTAATTGAATGGGGAAATCAACTATGTGCTTAGCAGATGCTTGGGATGTGCTGAGAAACTGGAAATCTGGAGTTGACAGAGAACATGCACTCTGGTGCACAGATGGGGGTATATATAAACCATTTCCTCCCAGGTGTTGGAAGTATCCATTAGTATTAATCAGAACGGTAACTAAACAAAGACATATTGTTATTCCATCATTAGACTTAATTGAGAGAAGCAAAGGGCCTTTGTCATCCACAAAGAATGAACGGATGGCTTTTACAGGTCCAGAGACGCCACCTGCATGTCTCATCTCCTCCATCCTGGTAAGCTAAGGAATACTATATCAGTACAGAGAAACTAAGTTCTGGGCCAATCTATTTCACTGCACATAAAGCACAAAGATGCAGGTTTCCTTTTGTGACTTTGTGTACTAGTATCACGTGGGGGTGTTTGCCCTGAACCAAGTATATCCTTAAATCTGAAGGCAAATAGCAGATAATGTTGAATTCGAAATATCTTATAGAGAAATATCTAGTCAATAGAAGACAAAGCAAACAGAAATAGATCCATGGGGGGCAAGGAAATTGTGACCGCGTATGTAAACACGCCGTTTTCATTAATCTTTTGTTAAAATAGTATGTGTACATAGTCAAGAATATTGTGAAAATAGCACTTCTATTCAATAGTCATTGTTCTTTGTATGTTGAGTACTAGTCCCTGCAGCTTTGTCTCAGTAAACTCTCATTTCGAGCCATATCTGCCCTGGAGTACTATTCTGGTGCAGGGTTCAATAGCTTTTCCGCTTTAATGCTTCCAGCGATAACCCTATGGCTGATCACATTGATTAGTGTGATAGTCTAAGCTGTCAAGTGATTACTATACTTGCTTTCAATTGTTCTAGAGAAGCAGAACAAAAAGTACAATTTCCATCTACTTCGACTATAGGGTTTGATATGGCTGCAGAGGGTGGGTCATGACTAATCCTATCAACGACTGCCCCTCCTCCCCACATACTCACGAATGCTCATACATCTGCGTATCCAACAATTGTCACAAGAGGTTTTTGTAAGAAGATTGATCACTCTGCTGTCAGAATGTCTTTAGTCGCCATAGGTGCATGCTATGTTGATACTATCTTAACGTTGGTTGGCACCACCTTCACCCGGCACTTAAGTCCACACTAGCTCATTATCTTTATCCAGAACCCCTCATTACCCTGGCGAAGATGAAAAGCTACGCGCTACCAAGATCTCACGGCGGCGAGGAGGCAATTGCCCCAATACTCTCGAGGTGCTCCAGCAATTGACTGGGCATGGCCCGTCACAGACCGAGGTATCTCTGAATCTTATTGCTGTGCTGCCAGCAAAGTCTTCTATTGCATCTCAGCAAATCCAGTCTGCCTTTGAGCCTCGCGTTCAGCTCAGTCATTGCATCTATCGAGAGCAATATGAAGAGCCGGCTTCAAGTTATATCATCAAAAGCCAGTCCTCTGGGAGCAGGACGATTGTTAACTACAATGAGCTCCCCGAGATGACGGTAGAGGAGTTTAAACGAATCGCAGACGACCTAGGCTCAAAGGCAACATGGTTCCATTTTGAGGTCAGTCAACCCTTGAGATTCCTTGTCATCGATTATCGCTCTTTCATACTTATAAATCGTACATCTAGGGTCGCATACCTGATGTCACTCTGGCCTGTATACAATATCTTCGGCGACATTTTCCATCTTTACGAATCAGTGTTGAAGTAGAAAAGCCTGCACGCGAAGGCCTTCAAGAACTGGCTATGGAAGCTGATGTTATCTTCTATTCGAAGAGCTGGGCTAAGGTAATCTCACCTGCGTCTACAATGTTAAAACGATTTTACTAAGAGCTAAACAGGGAAATGGGTACACATCAGCCAAAGAGTGCCTCCAAAAGCAATCTCTGCTTACACACAAAGCGTAAGTGTCATGGTTTCTTTGCGCCGTCGCGAACAGGCTGACTCGAAATCTCAGGCAATTTCTCTTCTGCACATGGGGCGAGGATGGGGCTGTAGCGTTAGAAACAAGTTCTGGTGACGTGGTCCACAGCCCAGCCTATACTGCACCAGACTTCAACGTTGTTGAGTAAGTTATTGACAAGAGCCCACGCTGAACCAATCTCGCTAATTCTATGTAAGCACTATTGGCGCTGGCGACACATTTATAGCTGGTATGCTTTACGCCTTGATATGTCGAAGCGACACTTGGAACCTTTCACAAAAGGTAGCTTTTGCGAACCGGTTAGCAGGCATGAAAGTAACGCAAGAAGGCTTCTCCGGTCTGGAAAGAGCGTTGAACTCAAACCCTTGAGCCAGAGGTTTACGCGTGTATGTAACATAGTTCAATATCAAAGTTAAGCTCGCTGTGGGATACAAGGTATGGAGAGCCGAAACTAAATTCAGGAAATTTTAGTAAGATATAACTGCAGGAAGTATATATATTTAAGACTTAGGGATACTTGCCCTTTGAAGCTAGCTGAATCGCCTCATGCTATATTACGTATCAAGTCACCTTACTCAACAAATGATTGCAGCAACCATAATATGACTACAAACGAACGACTCCCTGCTTGAACATGGGCTTGATGATGGAGGTACCTCCAATGAATTGCCTTCTTCGATAGTGTCACGTGCGAGATAAACTGCGACTGAGATTTGGAAGGCGGTGAGGGTCAGAAAAATATTCTGCCCGCAACTTTTTTGGAAGCTTTTCGCTGCGCCGATCAACAACTTAGATTTTCTCTAAATCAGTTTATTCTACAATTCAAAATGGCGGCAGTATACAAGTCAGTGTCTAAAAAGCAGGCTAAGCAGCTTGCCAGAGAGCAGGAGCAGTCCGACTCGGACGCAGAAATGGCCGACATGGCTGACCTTCTCGCCGACGCCGACGATACAAGCGACAGCGAAGAGGAGGAGGAAGAAAACTTGGAATCAGCCAAGAAGCAGCTTGCTGCTGGATATATGCCAAAGACTCGGGTTCTGATGTTGACTTCCAGGGGTGTCACATCTCGGTATGTCCACATTGTCTCGGTCCGAATTGAACAAAAGGAACGGTATTGCTAATTGGTTTTGATTCTAGCCATCGGCACTTGCTCGCAGACCTTACTGGTTTACTCCCTCATACCCACAAAGAAAGCAAACTCGATACTAAAAAGAAGACCGCTGGATACAACTTACTTCTGAACGATCTCGCCGACCTTCACTCATGCAATCTCATTTTCTTCCTCGAGGCCCGCAAGCGTGGTCAAGATTTGTACCTCTGGCTCGCTCGTCCCCCTAACGGACCTACGCTCAAATTTCACGTTAACAACTTACATACTATGGGCGAACTGAATGCTGGATTCAGCGGCAACTGCTTGAAGGGTGGTCGTGGTATTGTGGTTTTTGATCGTTCGTTCGACGAACAAGGTCCGGTTATGAGCCAGCCAGGCAACGAGTACCGTGGACTGGTCCGGGAGATGCTGCGGGGTGTCTTCTCCGTCCCCAAGCGTGGCGTCAAGGGAATGAAGCCTTTTATCGACCGTATCATTGGTGTATTTGGTGTCGACGGCAAGATCTGGATTCGCGTGTACGAGATCAGAGAGTCCGAAGCCGGAGGCAAGAAGAAGTCAGAAGACGGCGAGGAAACTGTGAAGCCTGTACCCAAGGGCAAGGATGGTCTACCGGAGGTCTCTCTTGTCGAGATCGGACCTCGTTTCGTTTTGACGCCAATTGTCATCCTGGAAGGCAGCTTCGGTGGCCCTGTTATCTACGAGAACAAGGAATACGTGAGCCCGAACCAGGTCCGTCACGACATTCGGATTAGCAAGGCAGCCCGCCACACCAAGCGCAGAGACGCGCAAACCGACCGTTTCGCTAAGCGGACAAACTTGGGATTGGGAGAAGGCCAGCGCAAACCTGATGCATTGGATAACAGGCAGTTGTTCGCGTGATTGTTTGCTTTCTTCCGTTTTTTTTTTTTTTTCATTCATTTTGTCTCTTCTTGTTAGTGCTATTAGACTCGATATCCTAAGGGGATGTACATGTGTTTGAGATGCAAGGGGCACCTTATCATGGTCTAAAAGGCGTCTGGTGTGAAACAACATAATAAAAGTTCAAATGTCATGATGAATTCGAATCCAAGTCCTTCCCCTAGCTGGTGGGAGTCTCTCAATTGTTTAAGCTGAACTATCGCATTAGGGCATCGTGCTGCAGGAACCGTGCGCCTTTGACAGGATGGTACCATAGCAACCAGGTATTGAACTTTGTTTATCCTGAGAACTTAGTACATACTTCATAAACTCTGAATGATATGATGCCTACGGAGTAATTGTAAGGGCGGAGATTAGATAAGCGCTGATATATAAGAGTCACAACATCCGCTGGGCTCGACTCTATCCTTCCCTCAACCAACCATGGCACCCTTCTCGCCGCTCAGCCCTCTGCGGCTGTCAGGGCTTGACCTCCATATCACCATGTGTTCTTGTTTCTCTAGGGACCAGATTTGTTTTGTTTTGAGGAGCCCCAAGGGCGGGGTTTCGACTTAGTCCAACTTGCGATCGCGACGGCAACGCTGGCTTGGGCAGCGACTATCCATTATATTACACAAAATCTACTATCCAACTGTGTATCTAAAGTACTTACCTTTTGCGCTTCTATAATAAGTCAGCAAGGTCCGTGTCCTAAGTTATTTTGGTCGTGACCACAGCTAACAAATGTAGCTCAAACCATATAGCAACCATGTCATTCGATCATCTGGCCACGGAGCTATTGCTCCATGTATTTCGTTCCTGTGAAACAATATCCGACATTTTGAACCTCGCATCAACCTGTCGACGACTTCGAACTGTATTTAACAGATCCAATAAGCTCCAAACTCTTGCCGATATTGCCGAGCGCGAATTCGGACCACTAGGCGAGATCATCCAAATCGTAACGCAAAATGCAAGCCAACCAGCTCACTTAATACGCAAGCCCCCCATGACCGATCCCCTCTTTAAACAAATAGTCCGAGTCGGACGCGTAGCTCAGAAATGGGAGACGATCTATCCCGTCAAGAAATGGAAGGTGGATTATGAAAACCGACGATCATTGACAGACGCCGAGCGATTCCGCCTTCGCCGAGCTATCTATCGGCTATGGCTCTACCATCGCGCATTCCATACGCGCACGCATGATCGCTTCAGCCGTAAGCTCCCACATGTCGTTACCGAGCGTGCGCAGCTCCTGCATAACTGGTCTACCCAGGAACTGGCCGATATCGAGGATGTGCGACTCATTATCGGCGATGTCGTCCAAAATCATATTTGTCCTAGTAACGGGACGATTCAGCGAAAGTTTCGCAAACGATTCCCAGAAAATCACAACCAGTTGGCATTCAATATCCATCTGAATTATCCAGCGCCCAGCTCTCTTGGGTCTTCCGGGCTCTTTGATAGCCCGAATTCGGTCGATCAATACTACCATACCGCGCATTCTGCCAATTTTACTGAGTCGCCGGCGAAATATAGATCTAGGTTCCGGAATGACTATTTCCATGATCCCGGCGCTGAAGGCTGGGGGGATGAGATCCCTCACTACTACGTGGTCCAGGACATGATGAAGCTCGATCCAGGCCAAGTGCTCTGGCTGCGCGAACATGCGCCTCTTAAAGAACAGGTAGAGGGCTATGTGCACTCCCTGGGAGACTGGTTTCGCGACAACGGAGAGACATTCGGGGATACACTCGAATGGGTGATGAAAGAGAGAGGCGATGATATCGAAGAGTTCAGGGCGGCCATTTCAGACCGGGAGGTGGGAATCGTGTGGGATTAATGCATAGCATAATTGCGCCATGCACTATCCGAACCGTAATGCGGAGCTAGCTACCAGTGTACCTACGGTACTGTACTGTAGTCACAACCATATCTGCCTGGAATCTGGATACCTCGGCATAAGCCAGTAAGGGTCCAATACACCAGTATTCAGAAATCAGGGATTCCACCGAATAAATCCCGCACATAAAGCCACCGCATGAACAAATCACCTCCCTACAGTAATTTCCAATCCTCCCAAAAATAGAAAACAGCAAAATAATACAATCTCCCATCCACCGGCTCGGCCGTTATCCAAACGTTCTGGAATCCAAATAACCTAATTAAACCCTCTCCCTCAGACGCCCCTGATCGGCCCACCCTAAACCACACTGGGGGCCGAGAATCCGGCGCTGTCGACTGGGGCTCTGGGGCATCAAGAACCAAGAACCAATGGGGGAGTTTGCGGTGGGTTTGCGAACTTCAGTGTGGGATTTAAGTACTAGGGCTAGTGTGATTAGTGCGTGCTGTCTTGTGGAGACATTCTTTTCTCTTGCCGCGGAATATGATTCTGGTATGGACAGGATTTGTGTGTTGTGGCACTAGGGAAGGTCATGTAAGGATGATGGTGCAGGCGATCTGTAGGTCCATGGGTTGCTGACTCGGACCATGGATCTGGTCTAGTTTCATTATTTTGGTTTGCTTATGGTACTCCGTACATACGTGGACAATCCAAATTTCTTGGGCCTCTGGCTTTTTGGACGTGGGGCTCCCGCTGCTTGGTCGGTGGGCCTTTCGAGACCACCGAGGTGTTGATGTTCATTCTATTCCGCTTGCGATGATACTTTTTGAGTGCTAGTTGATATTAGTATCTGCGACCTATGCGTTAGTACTCCCTAATTGCTAGTCAATAGTTGGTAGTGAAACATATGGAAGCCGCTGGGCTTAGTGATTGCTAGTGTTCAATGTAATTCGTCATTACCAACTATGATAACCTCATACATGAATTGCTTTGGCACTGTACTACGTAGACGCCGACAAGAACAAACCCAAACTTCGTTTCGATAATTGACCAGAGTGTGGGAAGGGTACATGGGATGTGTAAAAAAATTCAGAGAAGGCCAAAGAAGCGTGCCAAGGCGAAGACATGTCCGTAGAAGACAGAGAATAGGAAACTGTTAATTCCATAAAGGGGTAAGAAGGAACCAGACAAAGGATAAGAAAGGGAAGGGGAGGAAAATCAACAGAATGATGTCTAGGATGTGATGTCCCACAAGCATCACCATACAATGACCGTGTCCCTGGATGCCGTTCCCAACGTTCCTCTTGTGTATCATCTCCGCGGAGGCTAAGTAACAGACAAAAAGAAAGATCAAGACCATTCGATTATCACATCACAGAATAAAATAAAAATCGTTGCGGTAGGCGTGTCATCCCCTAACAGTAAGAAATCATCTAACAGCAACCCTGCTTCGTCTCAGGGTCCTGCGAAGGGTTGATATCCACCACCGGACGACGGTCGCCAAGACCGGCCTGGCCCGAGTCGCCATTCTCAAAAGCCTTGCTGGAGACAATCCGGTAGATTTCTAAGCGCGCGTCAGCATGACGAAAAGAGAAGCCGGGCAGATGTGTATATTGCTAACCTGTGAGGATGTTCTGGAAAGCCAGCTCGACGTTGCTCGCGTCAAGGGCAGATGTCTCGATGAAGGAGAGGTTGTTCTCGCCTGGGAGCAAGTTAGCGAGCCACAGGTAAAGGTCACTCACGCTTCAAGGTGTCCGAAACTTACTGGCAAACTGCTTAGCTTCTTCGGTTGGGACAGCGCGCAGGTGTCTCAAATCGCTCTTATTTCCCACAAGCATGATGACAATATTGGAATCTGCGTGGTCCCTGAGCTCTTTCAACCACCGGTTAACGTTGTCGTAGGTTTGATGCTTGCTGATGTCGTAAACAAGAAGGGCGCCGACGGCACCACGATAGTAGGCAGAGGTAATGGCGCGGTAACGCTCCTGGCCAGCAGTATCCCAGATCTGCGCCTTGATCGTCTTAGAATCGACCTGAATAGAACGGGTTGCGAACTCCACGCCGATGGTTGACTTAGAGTCCAGGTTGAACTCATTGCGGGTGAAACGACTCAAAAGGTTGGACTTTCCAACACCGGAGTCTCCAATAAGCACCACTGTATGATAAGAACCGCAAGTTAGTGGTGCTATTCAACGAGGGAAAAGTCTCTATAGGTGTGGATCTTTCGGCGCTTCTGCGGGGGGAAGTGGCAACTTTACCCTTGAAGAGAAACTAGCGAATCACCCAATTAGTTATACACAAGACAAGCACGCAGCGAAAGGATGGACAGAAAAATGACATACATCATACTCGTCGTTAGCCATGATGAATTGTTGTGAGAGCTTGTCAAACCCTAAAAGTGGTGAGGTCTGAGATTTGGGGGACCTTCGACGTGGCCAAGTTAAATAGCGATTAAAGCAAAACCGACAACAGTGCGAAGGTTGATCCTGGGAGGGGTTGTGTCTCGTCAGTTGACTGTTTGAAAGTTGCAGCCTAGATAGCAGCCTGAGGCGAACCAATGCCGCGAGAAAAAGGGTAGTTAGATAAGAACTCACGGCGGCGGGTATGTTTCTTGGTAAGGGGAAGACAGCGAAGCAGAAAGATAGGAGGTTATCCAGATGTCTTTCGCTCCCCTGCCACTCCCGTGCTCGTCGCGCTGCCGAGCGGACACTCCCAGTTTGGGGATAGTGGCTGGGTCACGTGTGCATTGGGCACTGGACTTCAAAGAAAATCATATACCAGAGCGCGACAACAAGAGGCGCGAGGATGACTGCCTCTTAAGGATGGTCATGGATTCCTTTTGATGTATATTATACCCATGCTTGATTCCACATGTTTCTTGTTGGCCTTTGCCAAGAGCGGATTCACTCATTATCGGGCGGGCATACACCCGGGTTTTCTACTATCTATGGTGATAGCGATCATAGTTTGACCCATCTTTGTGCTTTTTTTCTTTGACAAGTCAGTTCCTTTGGCTCTCTCCATCAAACTCGATCTATCTGCAGCTTTTCTGCTAGCACCTCCTGCTTGATGCACTGCTGTTCTGGCAGTGGTGCTCTTTGGTGGCAATGACTGAGGCTAGCGATGATGATATTTCTCTCACCTCGACTGTCCCTAGCCCGCCGAAGGAGAACTACTATGTGGATACAATCCACGCCGAGCGTGAGACTTCACAGGGAATTGAATATCTCGTAGGATGGGCAGATTATCCTATCGAAAGGAGCAGTTGGGAGACGGCTGCCCAGTTTGACGATGAGCAGACTCTGTTCGACTGGGAGGAGAAAAAAAGAGAGATTGCAGCAGGAAGGCTGCAAGAGTTTGATATCGGTGATTTCAACAGGCGTCTGTATGAAGCTGAACAAGCCTGTCAAAACCGAAAGCACAAGCGACATTTGAAGAGAGAAAGGCTTGCGAAAGGGCAGCTGGGGCTATCAAACACTGGTTTATTCAGCTCCACGTCAAATGGCTCTGGGCTCGCAGATGCCGATGTAACGCTAAATTCTTGTGCTGATACTGCAAACGTATACTCCAGCAGAGCGACAAACCAGTCTCAGGTCGGGCCTGCCCATTCTCAATCTATAAGTGGTGGGCTAACAAGACCACCCCTAGTTGGATTTGGGACTGGTCGTGGTGGTATAATTCGCTCTCGGCCTCGGAGATCCTATGATGCTGATTCTTCTGCTCCTCCCAAGACGTTCAAGTATTTATCAACAAAGAACAGATATGAGAAGGCAAGGGCTTATGAGCCTGCACCAGACGTCAGCAAACTTGAGCTTATGAGGCCATCGGAGTGGTCCTCTACTCCTGCCGTCCATTGTTCCAATCCTGGACCTCAGTATAATATCAGCCCCAAGGGGCAGGAGCCAGGTGAAAGCCCAAGAAGGACGATTAGTGAAGTCCCCGATATTGACACATCCGTCTCTCAGCCTCAGCAATCTCGCGTTATTGATTCAAATAGGTCAACCCACAGTTCGCCTGTTTCCGACAGGCCTCGCCGTTTGTTTGATGGATCACAGGACCTCTATCTCCCACGACGAAGGCCTGGTCCCGAGGCTAAGTGGATGAAAAGGGGAAGAGGAGGTTATTTTGTCAATCCCGGAGAACTTCTATTTACTATGTATTATGGGCCCGATAAAAGGGAGATTGGTGAATTTAGGATGTGCGGTTTAGACACCATCAGGAGAACCAGATTTCTTAGGACTAAGAAAGGTCACGCCCTCGAAATTTGGTTTCAACACCTCTGTAACCTTACAGACTACAATACTCTATGCAAAAAGGTGAGTACTACATATAAAGGCTGGCTTGCTTGTTGCCTTAAGATGAAATGAGTCACTAATGACATTGTTTTACCAGACAGCAAATGCAAAATATTGGAATGGCTGGGTTGAGGGGTTTGACGATTCTGAACCAGACATCTATCGCTTTGCGAAAGACCTCAGCCAAAAAGGTCTGGTGGCTATAAGTATGCCTGAAATACCGGGCCATGATGTATTACTTGCATATCCACCAGATTCCGAGGATTTTGGTTTCTTGGATGGGGACTTTAGAGGCCCTGGTGACGTCTTTCTCCATACTGCTGTGAGAAGTCAACTAGGGCCCATTGAGCGACTGGCTCTCGGTAATTTACAAGGACAACGTGGTCACCTGACAGACGCAACTACTGTGATAGTGAATTCTTCACGGACTAACACTGTTTTTGCAAACATACAAGCTTCTGAGGCACAAAGAGAGCAGGCTTTTTTAAACCAAGAAAATGGACCTTCGATTATCGAGGCTCCTAATGCACGCATAGGCCTGGAACCGAGGCCGCACGCAAACCCAGCTACGCCATTGGCGAATCGTCGCACTTCGAGTGATTCAATACCAGTTCTGCAGAGGAGGTCATCTGGGATCGACCACATGGATATTGATCAGGGCTCTAAAGACCCCACGGCGGCTGCTAATAGTAATAAAAGGCAGCCATCACTGGGCGTTCAACTTCCTTTTGACTTGGACCATGAATTTGAGAAGAGATTCGGGATGACGTTCCAGACGTTGGCAACAGTGGCAGAGAAACGTTTAGCAGGGTCCTTCTGTGTACTGTTTCCACAGAGCTCAGGGGGCATTGAAGAAGAATGTCAAGCGGTTGTTGAATTTCTCAAAGCTCACAATAGTGACAAGCACAGGGCTATTATTTACTCTAACCGCACTCCTGAAGATTGGGAAAAGTTCACTCAAGCGAAGAATGGAGTCATCTTGGTATGTGTTACCACAAGTAGCGTTATCAAAATATAGATATGCTGACATGGGCCAGGTTCATGAAAGCTTTCTGGAATTCTACAGGCTGCACGGCCTTAATAACTTATGTCGCCAGTCCACATTCAACTTTTGGAGCTTCTCTTTGAACAAAGAATTAGGTGATAATCAACCGTATTTCCGGCGCATGTTCCAAACGGGCGGGGTTCTTTTGATTACTGCAGACTACATACTGAGCGATCCGAGAGGCACTGTCGTTGTCCTATCTTGGTTCGAAGAGTATGCGAAAGGCAGGTATCCCGGAACATGGAAGCTAATGCTACCCCCGGATGTATTAAATTGGGTGCAAAAACAGATTGAGGTCACCGTGAACTCAAGATTTCTGTAGGTCACTGTGTATCACCAGGTTTGATTATACGGTCTAATAATAATATCAGATGGCTTGGAATGTACCACCTCATTCTGCAGATTACTGCCCTCGGAGATGCGAAGTCCCGGAATATCCTCACCGGCGCCGAAGGAGGCTATACACCAAACACGGTCATCTCTCCTTCGAAACTGCCGGGATATGGTTTTCGTACAGATGATGAGATCCCAGATCTCCCCAAAGACAAAACCCTAAGCCAAGAACAACGGAATGCTGATCACCTCATTGAGTTTTATGCTGGCTGGGCCCTGATCAACTGTTACCAGTTCCGAAAGTTCCTGGTGCTCACAGCCTCTTCGCTTCCACGATGGGACGAATGGCAACACTTACAAATCTACGTCGGCTCCTCAGCAATCATGAAATCTCTGGAAATCAACTATAAGTTGCATTGGGAAAAGCTTAAGCGTTCTGCGGGATCGAATTCCCACTCAGAGAGGGGTTCTCAGACCCCTTTTACACCCCAAACTCCTAGGGCTGGTCCTTCGAGCGAGTCAGCTACTTTTAGAGCGACGTCATCCTATATCCCTCCCCCCACGTACCGCTACCCCGAGCCATATCAGTGATCGAAAAGTGAACGATCTGTCGGTAATTGAGAAGTGTATGCTCGATCCGGAGCTTCAATTGCGTTCTATACATTCACGCTTGTTACATATCTTAGGATACCACTGTAATATACAACGATCCCACGCTTATGGTTATTTTGCACCGAGGAGAACGAGGCAATGATTGATATAAATAATGCAACTCCAGTGGCTGCGTATAAGGAACCGTCAAGAGAAACCAGGCTAAAGCTGTTATCCGAAACGCCATACATAACACAGAAAATTCAAGGAGACTGGTATACTAGAAAACAAAACATCAAAACATCGCTGAAGGTCAAGCAATGCACGTCACATATACAATATGCGCTCGCAATGTTTACTGAAACCGATTGATAAGTGTCAATCAGAAGCCTGCTGCTCTAGTCCGGTATTCACGGAAGTTGGAAATAGAAGGGTGCTCCTCCGAAGCGGCCTGCATTTTAGCTTTCAGGGCCTTCTGCTTCTTCTCTCGCCGTTGCTTTTCTTCCCATTGGCTCTCCTCTGCTGCGATCATGGCATGAAAACGTCCGCCTTGTCCACGAGAAAGGTAAATAGGTTTCTCTTTACGGGCAGCCACAGACTCCGTTATGAGGACAAACTTCACGCTTGAACCGGGCGTTTCATACATGGCGTCGCTAAGGATAGTCTCCATTTCTGTTCGGAGGGCTCGTGCCCCCGTGCCCATTGTGAAGGCGTTGGCAGCTATTTTATGCAAGGCTGGGGTTGTGAAGCGGAGCTCAATCCCTGACAGGGAGAATAAGGTTGTGTACTGCGCTAGTAGTGAGTTACGGGGCTCAGTGAGGATTCGTACAAGTAAAGGTTGCGTCAGCGTGGAGAGTGCAGCGGTGACTGGAACACGGCCAACTAACTCAGGAATGAATCCGTAATTTTGTAGATCGGTAGGGTTGATGAGGTCGAGTGCGTTGAAGTAAGTTGGCTCACCATCAGGCGATTCGGGGCTAGCGGAGGTGAAAAAGGGAAGATGTTTCTTGTACAAAGCTTCCTCTTCTGACCCTGGCACTATAGGCACAGGCTGATTGTTTGCAGTAGCAGACTGTCCAGGTCGCTCATCTGAATTGGA